AAAATAGCCTTAATTCAAAGGACGTCCCTTCTTCAATTTTTAACGAAGGTAGAGTGTTTAAACACCTTATGTTTAGAGGTGGTTTCAAGGTTATCTGATCTAACCGGACTAAGACACGTCTGACCCAACCGAATGAAAAACAGCAAAACATTCACGACCACCCGAAAGTCCTCAAGAGAGACACACTCGAGTTGGTAATCAACGCACAAGACAAGTAACGCCACGAGCAACGGAGAGTTCACAAGAAGGACAGACTGGAGTTCGTAATCAACGCACAGGAGAAGCAACGTCAAGGCCAGACCAGATTCCTCAAGAAAGACAGATTCGGGCTGCTAATCAACAGAAGTAGCAACGTCACGAACACGCGAGAGTCCTCAAGGAAGACAGACTCGAGTGGATAATCAAGGTACAGGAGAAGCAACGTCACGAGCACTCGAGAGTCCACAGGAAGACAGACTCTTGTTGATAATTATCGTACAAGACGAGCAACCTCACAATAAGCCGAGAGTGCACGAGAAAGACAGACTCGAGTTGATAGTCAACGCACAGGAGGAGCACCTAAGGATCCTCACGAAAGACCGACTGGAGTTGGTAATCAACGTACCGGCCAAGCAACGTCTCGAGAAGCCGAGGCGGCACGAGAGAGACAGACTCGAGTTGATAATCAACGTACAGATGACGCAACGTCACGAGAACCCGCGAGTCTTCGAGAAAGACGAACTGGAGTTGGTAATCAACTTACGAGGCAATCAACGTCGCGAGAAGCCGAGAGTGCACCAGACAGACAGACTCCAGTTGGCAAGCAACGCACAGGGCCAGCAACGTCAGGAGCACCGGAGGCCTTAAGAAAGACTGACTCAAGTAGACAATCAACGTACAAGAGAAGCAACGTCACGGGCACCTGAGAGTCCTCACGACGGACAGACACAAGTTACTTAACGCACAGGAGAAGCAATGTCAGGAGCACTCGAGAGTCCTCAAGAAAGATGAATGGAGTTGGTAATCCACGTATAGGAGAAGCAACGTCACGAGGACTCGAGAGTCCACAAGGACGACAGACTCTTGTTGGTAATCCACGTACAAAACAAGCAACGTCACGAGCAGCCAAGAGTCGACAAAAAAGACAGATTCGAGTGGATGATCAACTTATGGGAGAAGCAACGTCATGGACAACCGAGAGTCCTCAAGAAAGACGGACTCGAGTTGGTAATCAACGTATAGCAGAAGCAACGTCAAGAGCTGCCAGATTCCATATGAAAGACAGACCCGGGTTGGTAATCAACGTACGGGAGAAGCAACGGCAACGGTTACCATGCAAAATAGAACAACAGTGTGGGATCCTCTTTAATGTGGAGGTCTGAGAATAGGGATCGTCGGAAAAAAAACGGACTTTAATTTTCGGGCATGTAGAACTTGGAGTAGCTCGACCCGGCGCATAGCTAGTGATAGTAACAATTTTTGTGTCTTGTATATATAAAGACGAATTTGTGTCTCGCCTAGTTGATGAGTGCATATTCATATGAATTGCTAAACATCTACCGTTTATGTTAAAACTTGTCCTATTTTAAACCAGTAGTTTTTTTCTGCTTCGAAGAAAATCCTGTGTTTTTTTGATGAAAAAAAGCCGTTTCTGGAAGTATTCGGCCAGAAGTGAATAACTATTTTTCTCATAGCCCAGATCGAGTACATGAGAAAGGTACATTGTCTCATGCTCCAGGAACCCGTAGGATGGTGCAACACGTGCTCAAAGTTTGGAAAACGAGGAAAATGGTGTTTAAATATTGACTTTTTTCTAGTGTTAAGTGCTTTTAAATTCCACTCAGAGTTAGTCCATCGGATAGAGCTTGAAAAGGCGCTTCGAACACATATCTTGTTTTGGTTTGATTATGTGTGGGAAATATGCTTTACAAAAGAGTGATCGTTTTATAGCATTTTCTAAGACTCTCCCTAAAATTTTGGAATTTTCTGTCTGCTAGAGATTTTGTAAAACTATACATACAGATTCTGGACCGGCAATTCCAGCTGAAAAAATGTGTTCGTCAGCAATGATAAAAATGCCTGCAAGTGATCCATTCTGCTGGGAAAAGGGACTCCACAGGTGTGGGAAACCATCGCGTAGTTATTTCAAAACGTTTTAGTGTGATATTCGTCATCAGAAGCTCAAGTTGCAGTAATCCGGAAGATCTCCAACGATTAAAGTCGATGTAAAGTCTGGTACGCTTTCGAAAGCGTTACTCTAATACAAAACTTAGCTGAGTACACTGAAAGAGTATTTCGATATTAACTGAGTTTGCATTTCGTGTCATAGGGACAAGATATGACTCTGTTTAGTCTTATCTATCCTGCTCTTCGATTTTGGGTTGTAACTCTAACCTTGATCGAATAAAGGGAAAGAATTAGCATTAAACTTTCTATTATATTCTAGTCAAAAACAACCGTTTTCAGAATAACACCTAGAACCAGTTCATCATAAATTGGGAAGATATGGTTTAGTTGATTATAGGGGAGAACGGCATACTGTAGAATTGCAGGTTCAAACCCTGCATGGACTACTCGAAGTCTTTTAGATTTTTTTGCTTTTTATTCATAGTAAATGTACTACGTCTTGCAAAAAAAACACATTCTAAATTTCAATACATGCCATAAATTTTCGATGCCATTCGTGTTCGTATTTGCAGCCGGATATTTCCACTGTATCTGATTCAGAGCTGGACCGGTTCGGTCCGGCCGGTAAACTTTCCGGTTGGAATTATAACTTAACCGGTGGAAAACCGGTAAAATCTGGCGAGGTTTTTTGAAGGTCGATTTCACAAAGAATTTCCCCCAGAAATGAGATAGTTTGCGAGCACATATGAGAGAACCTTCACAATAACGAGTCTATAACATTTAACCGTAAAACAAGTGATAAAAATAATATGTCTTGAGCGCCGTCTTTTTTATTCTGACTGAAAAAGACGTAGACTTTTAGTTTTTTGACGAAAAACAGGGTTAAAAGAGCAAATGTTTCAAAAGTTTCAGCCAATGAAATACCGGCCTCTACCGGCCCGGTTGGCTTTTTCAACCAGTCCTGTTCTGTTCGGTATCGGGCCGGTGTCAGCCCTGATCTGGTTTAACTAGTTTAGACGTATGTTTGGGATCATTGAAGATCTACTACTATCTAACATAGTATCTTACCTACAAACCGTAGCTATAATCATGGTGCTCTGCATTACAGCTGTCTAATATTGCTACATTCAGGATATGAGTCAATGAACAATTCCTTTATTGTTGTAATCTCCAGTCTTTGTGCACGGTTTGTGCACTTTTCAATAAACTTTGCTTGAAGTAAATCAATCGTCCAAAAACACTTTTAACGAAACAAGCCAAAATAATGAATACTAATCTCCTGAATATTTCACTCTTCCGTATTTGTTCCATTTGTGTGTTGAAATGAGGTGCTGAGGATGTGTTCATTTTATTGGAATAATTTTTTTACACAGCGATCCAAACAAAAATAAAAATAAATTTAGTGCTTTTCTGGTGGATTCTTTAACTTTGCAAAGAAAGGTCATGTAGAACAGCAGGACATCTCGCTTTGATCCGAATTTGGCAGGCTACATTCATGGATTATTAAGAAAAAGTTTCGAGGTTTTTTGGAGTTTCTGAAAAACCGCTCTAGGAAGGCCTAGCAACCCGTCTCATACAAGCCCCTGGAAAAAATCAGTTTTCCTCGGTATTTTGAGGATATTGTCACCAAAAGAACGTATTTTTTTAAAGTAATGGCATATTCTGAAAACCCTTGAAATTTTACATCATCCTGTATAATTTTATTATTGTTTGGATCGCTGTGTAAAAAAATTCTCTATCACCCTATATATTTATATATTGTCTTGCATTTACTTGCTGGGAAAAAATTTGAATACAGTAAAGGCAACCTACTTTGACAAGTACAAAAATGCACTACGTTTTAGGACTGTTCAAATTATTATTGCTATGGAAATAATTGTTTACAAAAGTAAATATAGACTCTGATAGCCCGTGAAATTCTCTATCATTCTATGTATTTAGTCTTGTTTTGCACTTATTTCTCAAAGAATAATTCCAATATTATTTAGGCACCCTCCTTGATAAACTCTAACAAACTGCACTTTTTTACTATCTCTTTCGTTCTTAAGTTCAAAAGTTCAGGATAATAGAAAATTTCAAGCGCTATCAGAACATATAATTGCGTGTGCAAAAAGTTATTTCTATAGTGATAATAAATCTGAAATAAAAACCAAAGAGATAGTAAAAAGTCTGATTATTTAGGTTTGCAAACTAGGGTGCCTAAATAATATTTGAATTATTCTTTGACAGATAAATGCAAGGGAAGACATAAATACATAGAATGATAGAGAATTTCACGGGCTATCAGAGTCTATATTTACTTTTGTAAACATTTATTTCCATAGCAATAATAATTTGGACAGTCCTAAAAAGTAGTGCATTTTTGTACTTGTCAAAGTAGGTTGCCTTTACTGTATTCAAATTTTTTCCCAGCAAGTAAATGCAAGACAATATATAAATATATAGGGTGATAGCGAATTTCAACCTCTATCAGAATATGTGATTACTTTTTTCAAAACCTATTTGTAATACTGAAAAAATCTTGAAAAACTATACGAGATAACAATGCTTGTATTAAGTGTGTTGAAATGAGGTACTGAGGGTGTGTTCACTTCATTGGAATAACTTCTTTACACAGCGATCCAAACAATAATAAAAATATACAGGATGATGTAAACCTTCACGGGCTTTCAGAATATGCTATTACTTAAAAGAAATACGTTCTTTTGGTGACAATATCCTCAAAATACCGATAAAAACTGATTTTTTCCAGGGGCATGTATGAGACGAGTTGCTAGGCCTTCCTAGAGCGGCTTTCCAGAAACTCCAAAAAACCTCCGAAACTCGAGGAGCAAAGATCAACTTCTTGTGGAGCACGACCAAGTTCCCGCCGAATAAAGATCAACTTCTCGCGCAGAAACACCGAGTTCTCGAGGAACAAAGATCAGATTCCAGTAGAGAAGCACCAAATTATAGAGGATAAAAGATCAAATTCTCCTGGAGAAACATCGATCAAATTCTAGAGGCGTTGTGGAGGAAGCTGTGAAGGAAGAAAGATGAACTTATCGTGGAGAAGGACCGAGTTCTCGAGGAGCAAAGATCAACTTCTCGTGGGGAAACAGCAAGTTGTCCACGAAGAAAGATCAGATTCTAGTAGAGAAACACCAAGTTCTCGGGGTTGAACGATCAAATTCTCGTGGAGAAGCACCCAGTTCTCGTGATGAAAGACCAAGTTCTCAAGGAAGAAAGATCAGGCTCTAGTAGAAAAACACCAAGTTGTCGAGGGGAAAGACCAAGTGCTCGAGACAGAACGATCAGATTCCAGTTGAGAAACATCAAATTATCGAGGATTTAAGAACAAATTCCCGTAGAGAAACACCAAGTTCTCGAAGAAGAAAGATCAGATTCTAGCAGAGAAACACCAAACTATCGAGGATAAAAGATATACTCTCTTGGAGAAACACCGAGTTCGCGAGGAACATAGATCAGATTCTACAGGAGAAACACCCAGCTCTCATGGACCAAGTTGTGGAGGAAGAAAGCTCAACATCTAGCGACGAAACACCTAGTTCTCCAGGAACAAAGATCAAAATTGTTAGATTGAGTTCAAGATTGCCAAGTTGTCGAGGAAGAAAGATCAGACTCTAGTAGAGAAACAGCGAGTTCTCGGGGATGAAGGATCAAATTCTCGTGGAGAAGCACCAAGTTATCTCTAGAGGTAAAAAGCTGAAGTTCTAGTAGAGTTGCGGACGAAGTTGTGAAGGAAGGCCAAGTGCTCGAGGAATAGAATCTGATCTTTTTTCAGAGCGGTTTTCCAGAAACTCCAAAAAACCTCCGAAGCTTTTTCTTAATAATCCATGAATGTTGCCCGCCAAATTCGGATCAAAATGAGATGTCCTCCTGTTCTACACGACCTTTCTTTGCAAAGTTAAAGAATCCACCAGAAAAGCACTAAATTCCCTTTTCTATCTATATCCTGACAATGAACATTTAAGGCTTTTCTTGTGAATTCTATAACTTTGCAAAGAAAGGTCGTGTAGAACAGGAGGACATCTCATTTTGATCAGAATTTGGCGGGTTACTCATGGATTATTAAGAAAACGTTTCTGAGGTTTTTGGAGTTTCTGGAAAACTGGTTTTCTAAAAAAGCGCTATAGGAAGGTCTAGCAGCCCGTCTCATATGGATATTCGGAATCAGCGTGATCGATAGCCTGTAACACACTAGGTTCGGTGAAAAAAGCGGTTTATCAGTTAGGGTACTTCCTTCGTCAGAAGAGAGAAGTTGAGTGAGTTCATAAGCGCTTGCGGGATCTTAACCTGAATCATACTCAGAGTATGCAGTGGTTTAAGCGTGCGACACGTAAAATTCGTTTTCTTTATATTACGTATTGGGTGAGCAGTACACTAAACGTTTCAGAGATGAGCCTACAATTACCACATAGAAATCTATGAACTTTGAAAATCCTTTACGTTTTCAAGATTTAGTAGCATAAGATGATTGTTTGATTTGAGGAACAGTTAAAATTGACTTAGCCTATTGTACATTGAAATGTTATGGCCGACGAACCATAACCTCGGTAAAAAACCAATGGGGAACTTGTATGACAGAATTGCCATGTCTGAAGAGTTCGTATGCAGCTGCCCATCGATTTGTACTTGCTGGATGACTTTTAGGCGGGAGCACTAATGAAAA